GAAGGTAAGGGTCCTGTGTCCCGCCCCTGCTGCTCCTCTCTCTGCCTTGCAGTGGCTGCTGGGGGTTGGCAGGGTTTGAGGCCTTTTTACAACCTGGCAGGGCCTGGGCACTGGACAGTCCAGCCTGGCTCTGCCGCACCCTCGCTGTGGGGTGGGCACAGTGCTTCTCTTCCTCGCTCAGCGCTCCGTATCGGCAGTTTTTCATCAGGGATTCAACCAACCAGAAATCAAAATTATTTGGGGGCGGGGGGTGATCCCAGAAAGTTCCAAAAAGCAAAACTTAAATTTGCTGCACGCTGAGCGCTGTGCTGGATCCACAGGAAGGAAGTGATGTGTAGGCACACCCTGCGTCGTCTGTGTGCTCATGTAGGTCACGCGTAAATGCTCTTTATGTAATGCCATTTTGTATAAAGGACTTGAGCATCCTTGGATTTGGGGCCCTGTGAGGGTCCTGGAACCAGGGTTCATAACTTGTGAAATCAAGGAAAATCGCCATCACCCCAGCACATCCGAAGAGCCTGCTGCCCAGATCTGAGCGTCCAGGAGTCGCCTGGACACCTGGTCCCCCAGGAGCCTGTGCCCACCCCGGTCCCCAGGTGCAGCCCCTCCACCAGCACCTGGAGCTGCCCCCTAGCTTTCCCCGCCCTCAGGGCCACAGAAGGCACCCGAGCTCCGGAGATGTCTGCATGGTGGCGGACACTTGACTTCAGTGAGTTGTCGCGTCTGTCCCAGGCTTCCCGGGACGCCCGTGCCCTCTCTGCCCTCTCCGAGAGGTGCTCACCGGCGCTCTGGTTACTGCTGCCGGACACCGGACACTTCCTCAGACACTCCAGCAGGAGGCGGCTGGCAGCTCCTCCCGACCCAGCGCTGTCCTTTCACATGAGGGCTCAGAGCTCAGCAGCTGCCTCTCTCTGTTTTGAAGGGCTCGCTCTTGTCCTCGGGTTTTTACGTCGTATACGAGTGTTACAGGTCACATGCATGTGTGCATTGTAAGTTCAGGGCTCCTGCCGGAGAAAGTTCCTTTTCCCACGTTGTCTAGTGAGGGGAACCTTCTGGTAGTTTAGGCTGTGTGTCTGTAGCGCCATCTTTTGGCTACTTGGGAAAATGGCATTTTTAAAGGAAATTCTCTGAATGAACAAGGTCCTATGTCTCCTGTGACTGAGTCGGTTCTAGCACAGCCACGTGGTTTTAGAGTGGTTCGTTGCATTTTAGAAATTAGGAGCGACAGAATCCTAGTGCCTGGACATCTTACTGGCAGTAATCCCTTCAGCACAGCCTCAGCCCTCGTGGATGAGCGAGCAAACAGGAAGGCGGTGTGAGCGCCCGGAGAAGCCCCCTGGGTGCGTGTGCGGGCTGGATCGTTCAGTTAGCTGCTCCTTTGTGGACCGCAGTCACTGTTCACGTTGACTTACCACTGGACACTGTCAGAATGTTGCGAATGTGATTTCTGGAATGTGAACATAAGCAGCTCTCTATAGAGATGTTCTTGAGTGAGGCAGAGTACATGACTGGGCACACGCGCAGTGGGTCCGGGTCTGGAATCAGTGGTGCCGGGGGTTGTCTTCCAATGAGCCCCGCCCTGGGTGCACCGCCCGGCCTGGCGTGAGGCTCTCGGGTGGCGGGCGGCCGCTGAGGCACTGGAGGGAATGAGGTGCATCTCCACTTCCTCTCCCCACAGAAAACAAAGAAGGCCAAGGCGGCAGAGTCTGTCTCGCACCCCGCGGCCAGTGAAGGTAGGTGCTGCTCGCAAAGCAGGCGGCGGGGCGGTCTTCGCGCCCTGGGTGGTCTCTTACTTTGCTTCTCTTACAGAGTCCGCAGGGCCGTCCGGAATGAACACGGGAAAGCCTGAGGCCTCCAGCCTGGACTCCCGGGAGAAGAAAGTTGGCCCGGCTCCCAGAAGCACAGGTGGGTCCCACGGAGCCGCAGCGGCTGCTCAGAAAGCTGGGCCCTGGGGTCACGTCACAGCTTTATTGGCCTGAACTCAAAAACCGAGGTTCATCCCAAGTCCTGTCTCGGTCATGCGCTGAGCTCTCTTGGGGACTAGAAACACTTCCAGACCCCACAGCAGGAGCCTGTCGGGACGGACGGGTCTGGGCACAGGTGCTGATGTTCACTTGACCTGTGGAGCGTGCGCTTGGTGCCAGGCTCACGAGGCTGCCCGACCTGGGCCTGGAATCCCAGAGACTGGGTAGAGGGCTGGGGCTCAGCGTGGGGCGGGGGCTGGGTTTGTGTGCACCCCACCTGGCGCTCAGAGCCTCCCTCCCCCACCCGCCTCTCGGCCAAGTTCTGAAAGCCATTCAACAAATAGTCCAGAATTCAGCACATTTCTCCTGAAACCTGCTACCTTTAACTAAACAGCAAAACACTATTTATTTCACAAAAAGGAAAACACAGACCGGTTAGGTACGAGCATGTCTGACCTCGCATTGTGAGGAGCAGCCACAGTGGTTACGGGTTTCGACCCCTGCTCTCCGCGTAGTAGCCCCCTGCGGGGGAGCTCACTCAGCCTCCCGCTGCCTCCGATTCAGCCGTCAAACCGGCCA